ATATTTTATATAACTTAACAATATACTCCCTTCAGTCTCATATATAAGCAATGTTACGGAAAAAAATTCACTCTTTAAGAAAAGTGTTTAAATGCATTTAAATCTTACATTTTTTCTTTCTAATTTTATCCCTATATATTTTTTGTCTTTGAAATCGTTAAAAACATAAAAATGTGAAGAAAAAAAATTAGGGGTATATTTGGAATAATGACATTGAATATAATAGTTATAGTTGATATTTTCTTACATTTAAGAATATTGAAAAAAAAATTGTTGCTTATATTCAAAATTGAAGAAAATATATTTTATGTAACCTTATAATTAGCGTGTAATGTTTAAATTATTTTCATGACATATACAATTGTGAAAAAATAGTTTATTTTTCAAAATTTTAGAAATTAAAAGCTCAAATTTCATATCCCTAAAATAAGTGTATTATTTGTGAAACTTAAATAATCTTTAAAATGTTTGGTATTCAACTCCGCTTGGATGTTTGCAAATTTAGATTTCAGATTGAAGTATTCTTTATATTAGAATATTATTAATAATTCATATTTATTTAGTTGTACTATTTTCTTGGCCCCTAAGTTTGTTAGAGGGTATTTTAGTATTTATCTTATTTTAGTAACCCTAGTTTTAGCTTATAAATAGGGTGACAATCATTGTAACAAATATCATGTTTTGTAGCCGTCATTCTCTTATTAGTAATATTTCCTATTTCATCATTTATTCTATCTTTGCACCAACAATTGGTATCTAGAGCTCCGGTTCAGATTCATTGGGAAACACGGGAAACACGAGTGAACGTGAGGTCTTGTGTGTTTGATTTTGTTTCTCAGATTCTTGTTGGATCTTGAACAAAATCTGATCAGAATTTTTTAATTCTGTGGGTTGGGAAACACTGTGTGAGAAAACTCTGAGTGTATTGTGCAAAGAAGAAGATGAACGGAAACGGCAACATGAACACCAAACTTCCAGTATTTGACGGTAAAAACTGGAATCGTTGGATGATCCAGATGCGTGTACTGTTTGGTGCTCAAGATGTTCTAGATCTTGTCACTGATGGCTATGTTCCGGTAGCAGCAGATGCAACAGATGAACAGAAAAACGCGCAGAAGGAAGTGAGGAAGAAGGATCAGAAAGCATTATTCTTTATTCATCAATGTGTTGATGTAAATGTGTTTGAGAAGATTGCAGACTCTACAACAGCAAAGGCTGCATGGGACACTCTGGTGAGATGTTATGGTGGTGACGCATCAGTGAAGAAGGTGAAGCTTCAGTCCTTGAGAAAGCAATATGAGAATCTCAACATGAAGAATAATGAGAAAGTTTCTGAATACATCTCCAGAGTGATTCTGATCACTAATGAGATGAAGGCATGTGGAGAAACTCTTTCTGAAGAAACAATCATGGAGAAGGTATTGAGATCCCTTACCTCTCAATTTGATTACATTGTGGTAGCAATAGAACATTCCAAAGATCTGAGCACCATGAGAATTGAAGAGCTGCAGAGCAGTCTAGAAGCGCAAGAGTTGCGTCTGACTGAGAGAAACTCTGAAAAGGAAGTAGAACAGCAGGCTCTGAAAGCAACTTCTGATAGGAGATATCAGAAGCAGTCAGAAGCCAGGAGAAGATCTGATGGTGGTCAGAAGTCAGAAAGCTCAACCTCTGATAGACAAAAGAATGCTCAGAAGGGAAAAGAGAAGTATGACAAGAAGAAGATCCAATGTTACTGTTGTAAGAAGTTTGGTCACTTTGCTAGAGATTGTTGGTCAAACAAGGAGAGGAAATCAGAAGAAGCAAATATAGCCAGAAGTTCTGATGACGAATCTGTGCTATTGATGGCCTCTGAATCTGATGATCTGACAGACTGGTGGTATATGGACACTGGTTGTTCAAATCATCTTACTGGAAACAAGAAATGGCTGGTTGACTTTGACTCTGAAAAGAGAACAAAGATCAGATGTGCTGATGACAAATATCTTAATGCAGAAGGTATGGGAAATGTCAGAGTGACTCTGAACAATGGGAAAACAGCATTGATTCAGAATGTGTGGTATGTACCTGGCATCAGAAGCAATCTGATGAGTGTGGGACAATTAATTGAGAAAGGTTTTTCAGTTACCATGAAGGACAATCTTCTGAAGCTGTATGACTGTAATCAGAAGTTGATTATGGAGTCAGAACAGGGTAGGAATAGAACATTCAAGGTGAATGTCAGAACTGCAGACTCAGAGTGTCTTAGTGCAACAAGTACTGAGAAGGAGAGTGAGCTGTGGCACAGAAGATTTGGTCATTTGAATTTCAGAAGCTTACAACATCTGAATTCAAAGAAATTGGTACATGGAATTCCTGCAATTAAGAAGCCTGAAAAGTCATGCAAAGTTTGCATGGAAGGAAAACAACCAAGATTGCCATTTGCATCAGAAGTTGCTCCAAGAGCAAAACATGCCTTGGGAGTTGTACACTCTGATGTGTGTGGTCCATTTCCAGTAGCATCAATTGGAGGGAATAAATACTTTGTGTTGTTTGTTGATGAATTCACAAGAATGACATGGGTATCCCTTATTAAGTTCAAACACGAGGTGTTTGATGAATTCAAGAAGTTCAGAATGAAGGCTGAGAATCAGAGTGGTCAGAAGTTGAAGATTCTTAGAACTGATGGTGGAGGTGAGTATAACTCCAAAGAGTTCCAGAAGTTCTGTGAGGAGAATGGAATTGAGCATGAGGTTACTGCTCCTTATACCCCTCAACACAATGGTCTTGCTGAAAGAAGAAACCGCACTCTGCTTGATATGGTGAGAAGCATGCTAAAGGAGAAGAAGCTTCCTCAGAAGCTCTGGGGAGAAGCTGTTGCCACTGCAACGTATGTACTCAACAGATGTCCTACGAAGAAGTTGAAGGAAATAGTTCCTATGCAGAAGTGGACTGGAGACAAGCAAAGTGTTAGTCATCTGAAGGTATTTGGTTCTGTTTGCTATAAACATGTTCCAGAAGCCAGAAGACAGAAGCTGGATGATAGAAGCAAAGTGATGATTCTGATAGGGTACCACAGTACAGGTGCATACAAGCTCTATTGTCCAGAAACCAATAAAATTGAATTCAGCAGAGATGTGATTGTGAAGGAATCAGAAGTTTGGAATTGGGATAAGTCTCAATCTGATTCTGATGTTAGAACCTCTGAAGAAAGGTCAGAGTTAAGAATTGATGACTCTGATACTGATTCAAACTCTGCAGAAGACTCAGAAGATGAAGGTGACTCTGATGACCCAGACTCTGATGACCCAAACTCTGGTGATTCAGACTCTGATGACAATCCAGATCTTGGTGGCAATTCAGACTCTGGAAATATGCCAGACTCTGAAGATGGTCAAGGCTCTGGAGGAAGTCAAGCCTCTGAAGCTAGAAATTCTGAAGTTCAAGACTCTGGAAATATGCCAGATCCTGAAGTTGGTCAAAGCTCTGGAGAAAGTCAATCATCTGAAGCTCAAGACTCTGAACAAGTTCAGAGACCACAAAGAATCAGAAGCGTTCCCAGAAGATTTGCAGAATTTGACATGCTGCAAGACACTGAAGTAGACTCTGAAGGAAAGGATGTGGATGCTACAACCTTCAAACAGTTGGTTGGTTCTCTGAGGTATCTGTGCAATACCAGACCTGATATTTGCTACTCAGTTGGGATGGTTAGTAGGTTCATGAGTAAACCTAAGTGGTCCCATTACCAAGCTGCTGTCAGGATTCTGAGGTATATCAAAGGAACTCTGAAGTATGGAGTGTTATTTCCCTCTGGAGGAAATAATGAGTCAGAACTTCTGAGTTATTCAGACTCTGATTGGTGTGGAGACAGAGTTGACAGAAGAAGTACATCTGGGTACTTGTTCAAATTTCTGGGAGGTCCCATTTCTTGGTGTTCCAAGAAGCAACCTGTTGTGGCGTTGTCAACCTGTGAAGCTGAATACATTGCAGGTGCTGTTACTGCATGCCAAGCTGTGTGGATTCTGAATCTGTTGCAGGATCTGAAGATTAAGGTAGACAAACCTCTGAAGTTGATGATTGACAACAAGTCTGCAATCAACCTTGCCAGAAACCCAGTGCTGCATGGGAGAAGCAAGCATATTGAGACCAAGTATCATTTTCTGAGACATCAAGTTCAGAGTGGAGTGTTAGAAGTTGTACACTGCAGCACTCAGAAGCAGTTGGCAGATGTTCTGACGAAAGCTATCAAGACTGATCAATTTCTCAGATTAAGGGATGGAATTGGTGTCACAAGTTTTGATGGAATATGAATTAAGGGATGGTATTAGAATATTATTAATAATTCATATTTATTTAGTTGTACTATTTTCTTGGCCCCTAAGTTTGTTAGAGGGTATTTTAGTATTTATCTTATTTTAGTAACCCTAGTTTTAGCTTATAAATAGGGTGACAATCATTGTAACAAATATCATGTTTTGTAGCCGTCATTCTCTTATTAGTAATATTTCCTATTTCATCATTTATTCTATCTTTGCACCAACACTTTATAACTTTAACAAGAATTTTCATAAAGTAAATTTTAAATGTTTTTTATTTTTACTAGAATTTTAAAACATGTTAAATCTCTTGGTCCACATGTAGCTCTTTTTATTAAACTAATGGCAATTATTTCTTCTGCAATTTAACCTAAAGCTAATTTTTTTGTAGAGCAAACAAAGCACATCTTAACTCTAAAAATAAGTATAAGGAATGTGATAGGTCAAAACACCCAAATCTTAAACAAAGAATTTTATTACTACAAGAAATTTCACTTACATAGAATACAATAGAGTAATCACTAGTGAAGCTGAAAAAGAAGACAAAGTTTCTTCAATTTCCAACCATCAACCAACAATTATATAGTAATAACAACAGTAAATCAAGTATGAACAAAGTGTTCATTGGCAAAAACAAATCCACACACCAAATGAAGAATAACGAATATAATGAAAAACACAACCATATCAAGTAGCAGTATCTATTAATTAAGCGCAAACAAATCCCTTTGGAACTCCCTTTCCACAGTAACCAAGAATCAAACTCAAATTAATGGGAAGATTAAGGTTAATGCCTAGAACATTAGCCTTAAGAGCAGTGCAAAGACACACAGCAGCTTCAAGATTAGCAAGACCGTTGATGAGAGAACAGCATGGTGTCTTTGGTGGTTTACCAAGTTCGACATTAATCAAACCTAATATATCAGCACACACACCAAGCTTAATTGTGTCTCTAGGACATGTTGGGTTCTTTGGATGTGAGTGGTGGTTATTGTGACCTTTTGGGGGTGGTGGAGGACATGGAACATAGTTGGAGGTTACAGCAGTGAAAAAGAGCATGTTTAGAGCAAGGATTATAGCAACTTTGGAAGCCATTTCGAAGTTGCAAAATACTCTTAATCACTTTAGTTTGGTGTGTGAGTGTGATGATGTTTGAGAGGAATAAGAGATGGGTTTTATAGGGAAGGATTGTTGAATTTGTTGGTAATTTTATGGTTTAAATAATTGGTTTATTTTGAGATCCATGTGACAAACTGAGTGAGCCCATTGGGTGGAAACTTGATTATTCATGAGCATTAGCTGGCAGATATATGCTCTAAATTTGAGGGAATGCAGTATATTATATGGTCAAATTTGGAACTATATGCTATAATTTGCAAATTGTGGTTTGTCACGTACGTTAACTAAATTAAATCATTTCATACTAGTATAATAATAAGTTGTTGGGAAGTTTTCATCATTTTGATTAGTTAATTGAAACTAAATCAATGGGTAGAGATTAATTATACATGTAATGCGGTGAGCTTTGGGCTCTTTGACATACTCTTTTTAGGAGAAGTATTCTTAGAAGGCGAGTTGATGGATAATCTTAGAACTCTTAAGACCGTTCTTTAGTGTTTTGAGTTAGTATGGAGCCTTCAAATTAAAATTTTCAAAAGTTATGTTTTTAAGATTAATGTTGTTAGCTTTTTTCGGGAGTTACGGATTGCTTCCTAAGTTTTAGGGTTGAATCATTTATGTTCAAATGTTTTAGTTGCTTATCAAAATTGATTTTAGAAAGGAGACAACTTGGTAGCCTATATGATCAAACTTATCTAAAACAAGCTAGCATCTTGGAGCAATAGATGTGTTAGCTTTCATGGGATGGTGGTTCTTATCAACTCTTTCCTTAACTATAGACATATCTTATTTGTCTCAATTATTAATATGCTTGTGTTAATCTGAAAATTTTAGCTAAAAAAATTTAACATAGAATGATAATAACCACGTTTGAAAATACTAAGTGTCAAGAGCTTGAAACATAACTTCGACATGTCAATCATGTCGATTAAAGATGGTTCGACCACTTTGTCAGATGATCTGGGACATAGTCCAAGTAGCATGGTTTGAAAGATTCTCAAGAACAAATCCACAAGATTAGGATCACTCTTCTTCAAAACATGTCCAAAATCTCAAAAAGGGTTACATGAATCAGCTATTCGATAAGTGTCGAGTTCGACACAACCAAAACAAAAAAAAATGATATATTTAATACGAAGCCTTTGTCAAACAAAAAGTAACTTGAATATTTACTTGGTAAGATAAATTTGTTAAGGAGGTTCATTTCGAATCTAAGTGGTAAGACAAAAGTTTTTTCACATTTCCTACGATTCATGAAAGAAGAAGGATTCAGATACGAACCAGAACATCAGAAAGTCTTTGAGGAGATTAAGACATACATATCGAATCCTACCATATTGTTACATCCTAAGAGGAATAAGCCAATGAAGTTGTATATTTCTGCATCAGATTCGACAATAGGAAGCATGTTAGCATAAGAGGATGATGATGGCGTCGAAAGGAACATTTATTACCTAAGTCGAGTCTTAAATGATGAAGAAACTAGATATAGTCCAATAGAGAAATTGTGTCTATGTTTATTTTTCTCCTATACTAAATTGAAATATTATATAAATTCAACATATGTTTTCCTATATTTTCATTTTAACGTTATTAAACATATGTTGTCAAAACCTATTTTGCACAATCAAAGTGTAAAATGGTCATTGAATTTAAATAAGTACTCTTTAACTTATACGCCTTTAAAGGCCATGAAAGGCCAAATTGTGGCTGATTTTATTGTAGATTATGCAGTAGTCGAAGTGGCAAAGTTATGTTGAGCTAAAATCCTGGAAGTTGTTCTTCAGCGGCTCCAGGCACAAGAATGGAACTGGTATTGGAATTTTGATTATTCCCCCAATGGGATTCCAACTAATTTCAAATTCAAAATCTAAGGCGGTTGCTCTAATAATGAAGTTGAATATGAAGATTTCATTGCAAGTCATAGGGTCTTGTTAGACTTGGGGGCAAAAGGAGTCGAAACTAAAGGCGACTCAGAATTGGTTGTGAAGAAATTAACAAGAGAATACAAATGCATAAAAGGTAATTTATTGATGTACTTTGTTGCATTCAATAGATTTCTTAAGATTTCTTAATTATGCAAAAGTTCTTAAGATTTCTTATCTTTGTATATCTTAGAAGTCTTAAGTGTTAAAAATCTTTTTGGTTGTTGTACAACTTCTATACTCTTGTCTGAATATCAAGTATAGTCGTTAACTATTCTACTAAACTGTTTTTTCTTTAAAGTATAGGAAGTCTCTTGATAGTTAACTTGAGTTATGAAAGCCTCTTCCTGTTTTGCTTGAGTAGTGGATACTAATTGATTAGAATTGTTTTATGCTTAAATTCTAAAAAATTAATAATTATGCTTCAAGAAAAAATGTAATTAACTTGGATAGAACTTAGGGGGACCTTATAAACCTCATCCTCTAGACTATAAGACTTAGGGGGGCTGACAAACCCCCCATCTTAAAGTCAAGTTAATTAAATCAACAACCATTATTCTTAAATACTATTATTTGTCATCATAAAAAGGATGAGAGTATTGGAATAAAATTGGTTAATACCATATCCCTTGGGTTTTGATGATAATAAAGTATTTAAAGAATAAATGGGCTATCTAACATCTGTTCAAGTATGCAGGATTATATCATTAAGAACACATGAATAAATGCTTGAGGAATCTGAATCTGAATATCAGACTCTGGCTCTGAAGATCACTTCTGAAGACTCTACCTCTGATGGAGATCCAGACTCCGAAGAAAGTCAGCCTATGGTGATGCAGACTATGAAGCCTTAGAAACCAAAGAAGGGGACTCTGATGTGATCAGCCTTTAAAGAGTGTAGTATGAAAGAAAGGCAACCTCTAAAGTAGAAGCTTTTCTACCAAGGCAACTCTGACAGACTTAGAGACTTTTTAATCATGTGAATCCTTAAGGAAAATATCTTCCTTGGTGCTTGAGCTTCAGCGGATAATTCCTCTTGCAGAAAGGTACTTTATTGATGTGTCTAATCACTTATAAAGCTAGACCAACATACTAAGTAAAAGTCTTCAACATCTCCTCACTAGTAAAAAAATAACTTTTTAGCAGAGGTTTTTAAGTCAGTTCACTTGCCACATGACTTAAGAAATGATACGGTGGCAAATTCGTAAATATTGGCAACTTAGTTAGGTCGGGTGCATTTAAAACCGACCTAAAAAAGATTAAAAAAATATATAATTTATATTAAATTTCTTAAATCACATGTATGTGTTTATTAATTGACTTAAAAAAATCTAGTTTTTAAGTCAGGTATCAGCCACCTGACCTAAGAAGTTTTATATACTCCTAACAAAACGCAAGTTCGATTCCAACTTGGAACAAGTTAGTGAAATAAAACAATAATACTAAAAAATCTTCTCATCCTCTTCGTTTCCAGATTTAGGTTTCGCCACCATACTCACTCTTTTCTCTCCAAGTTCTCTCTCTTCTCCCTTCGAAAATTCCGTTTCCCTCTTCATCTTTCCCTCACCGTGATATACCATCACCATCGTCCAACTACCCTCCACCAAAAACCCTCCGATTTCGTCTTCCTCCATCAACTTTTCATCTCCTTCTCATCACCGAGAAACCCTTCACACCATCTCAACCCTATCCTTTATTTTCACCGTAAATCCTCAGTCCACCATTGAAACCCCTCAAACCTTTGTTTCCGCCGCAATACTACCAGTGTCTTCTTCTTCATCAACAAATCCTAACCTCAAAACCCTCGTCGATACACCATACTTCGTTATCCTTCACGCGACTTGCAGACAATATTAAAAAAGGTGGCTCAGCGGTCAAGAGTTTGTGCTGGCTAGTTACAACTCAACAGCTCGTTGAAATAACAGTGACTCGGTTTTGGAGCATTGGTTTGATTAGAGGTGGTACATTGTTACCATTCGATATGGTGAGTGTTTCTGTTATGCGATACCATACTGTAACAGCAACTCGAAGGAATGGAATTCTTTGGCTAATGATCCTTATATGGTGGTAATCGATGTACAAAATAACTCCGAAACCAGAATACAAAAGCTTACAAGAGTTGTTGGTCCGTGCACGACATCATTTCGCGGAGTTGTTCGTGTCGACACTACGGTAAAATTTTGAAACTCTCTGCGTAAGCATCTGTAATGAATATCACTTGGTTGGTTTTTTTTGTTGAGAATCAATTACTTTAAACTTTTCACAATCTGTTTGTTTGCTAGTTAAATTTGTGTTAAACTCATAATCAATATGGTTCAATATGAACTCTCTTTTCTTCTAAAATAATGCTGCATTATGCTAGAAGCTCACATTATTTGTGTTATTTTGGTTGCGTGAAAATTTTGATAGACTGTGTAATGTTGTTGCTGCTAGTTCAATGAGAGCGATCATGGCAGAACGTCGATCCATGTTTGGAGGAAGAGAACATTCCGGAAGGTTGATGAGATTGAGAGAATCAGAGATAGGAAGTGATTTAGTGTAGACATCAGTTTCTTCCTTGCATCATTCCTAATTGTAAGAATTGACAAAAACTATTTACTATTTATGTTATGGTTCTTTTTTGATTCTGTATCTGTCTGAATTGACTTATTTGAGTTTATCTACCGAGATAAACATTGTTCGAAGAGTTTATAGAAACAACTTATGACATTCAAAAACATGTTTTTTTCGTTTGTTGTAGAAATATGTTACTATACTTATGCACTTATGCTATAATCACTTAATTAAGTTGTTTACTCGAACTATGCAAAGAAAAAGCAGTTATGTGGTGTGTTTTCTTGAGATGATGAGTGTTTGTTTTAGTCACAATTTTTTTGTTATTGAAAAGGTACATGGTATTTGGTGAAATGTTTAAAAGAAAGGAACCAACTAACAACAAAAGAGGAGGAAATTTTACCAAACTTTTCTTGCTTAATTCTAGAAATTTTCTTGATATGTTGAGATGATATCAAATCTAGGCACATTGGATTGCTCTTGCTCCAAAGCTCCTGC